ACCACAAGTCATATCAATAAAGGTTCAATTCACAGGGGTGTATACAATGCTTTATTCAGCCTGCTCTGCAGACGGCGGAGACCTATCAAAACTAGCTCTATTATATACTGTAACTGTCAGCGTTATCCATTATCACTACATCAAGCCATACATATTAGCCATTATCATAACATCAATCTAAAAGCCAATTCACAAATACTGTACAAGTCATAACTCCTTAAAATAACATTTGATTCAGGCTGGTGTTAACTTCTATTGATCAAAGCAGGGAAACAAGCCTTTGGAGGTGGTGTCATGTGAAAGGGCTTTCCTACTATCACAGAGCGTTCTCTGCAGCTACAGCAGAAAATAAAAGAAATACCTGATTTTTTTTTTAAAAGTATACATTATGTCATTATGATTCTTTCCTATTAATTTTGTTTTGCTCTTGAAGGGACACTGCCATACAAAAAGAGAACTTGGATTTGTAGAAAAGCAGAGGATAGACAAAGTAATGCTTTCCTGTATAGAGGGTAATTTTTTTCAGTAGTTTTATTTTAGACAAAACATTTCTGTTTACAGTACCTTGAAAAAGTATTTATACCCCTTGAAATTGTCCACATTTTTACATGTTACAACTAAAAATTTAAATGTATTTTATTGGGATTTTTTGTGATAGACCAACACAAAGTGGCACATAATTGTGAAGTGGAAGGAAAATGATAAATGGTTTTCTATTTTTTTTACAAATAAATATCTAAAAATAACCCTAGCTAAAATTTAATGGAACCATACAAAAAGAGAACTTGGATTTGTAGAAAAGCAGAGGATAGACAAAGTAAATGCTTTCCTGTAGAGAGGGTAATTTTTTTCAGTAGTTTTATTTTAGACAAAACATTTCTATTTACAGTACCTTGAAAAGTATTTATACCCCTTGAAATTTTCCACATTTTTACATGTTACAACTAAAAAATTTAAATGTATTTTATTGGGATTTTTTGTGATAGACCAACACAAAGTGGCACATAATTGTGAAGTGGAAGGAAAATGATAAATGGCTTTCTATTTTTTTTTACAAATAAATATCTAAAAATAACCCTAGCTAAAATCTAATGGAACCAATTGCTTTCAGAAGTCATATAATTAATAAATTGAGTCCAGCTGTGTGTAATTTAATCTCAGGAAAATTACAGCTGTTTTGGGAAGCCCTCAGAGGTTTGTTAGAGAATAAAGAGAATAAACAAACAGCATCATGGAGGCCAAGGAACACACCAGACAGGGCAGGGATAAAGTTGTGGAGACATTTAAAGCAGGTTAGGTTATAAAAAATATCCCAAGCTTTGAATATCTCATGGAGCACTGTTCAATCCATCATCTGAAAGTGGAAAGAGTATGGCACAACTGCAAACCTACCAAGACATGGCTGTCCATATAAACTGACACAGGCTGGGCAAGGGGAGCATTAATCACAGAAGCAGCCAAGAGGCTCATGGTAACTTTGGAGGATCTGCAGAGATCCACAGCTCAGGTGGGAGAATCTGTCCACAGGACAACTATTAGTCGTGCATTCCACAAATCTGGCCTTTTTGGAAAAGTGGCAAGAAGAAAGCCATGTTTGAAAGAAAGCCATAAGAAGTCCTGTTTGCAGAAGCCATGTGGGGGACACAGCAATGTGGAAGAAAGTGCTCTTGTCAGATGAGATAAAAATTGAACTTTTTGACCTAAAAGCAAAACACTATGTGTGTCGGAAAACTAATACTGCTCATCACCCTGAGCACACCATCCCCACTTGGTGATGGTAGCATCATGTTGTGGGGATATTTTACTTCAGCAGGGACAGGGTTGGTGGTCAGAGTTGATGGGAAGATGGATGGAGCCAAATACAGGGCAATCTTAGAAGAAAACCTGTTAGAGTCTGCAAAAGACTTGAGACTGGGGCAGAGGTTCACCTTCCAACAGGACAACAACCCTAAACATACAGCCAGAGCTACAATGGAAAGGTTTAGATCAAAGCATATTCATTTGTTAGAATGGTTCAGTCAAAGTCCAGACCTAAATCCAATTGAGAATCTGTTGCAAGACTTGAAAATTGATGTTCATAGACACTCTCCATCCAATCTGACAGAGCTTGAGCTATTTTGCAAAGATGATTGGGCATAAATTTCACTCTCTAGATATGCAAAGCCGGTAGAGACATACCCAAAAAGACTTGCAGCTGTGATTGCAGCGAAAGGTGGTTCTACAAAGTATTGACTCAGGGGGGCTGAATACAAATACACCCCACACTTTATTTGTAATACATTTTGAAAACCATTTATCAGTTTCCTTCCACTTCACAATATTGTGCCACTTTGTGTTGGTCTATCACATAAAATCTGAATAAAATACATTTATGTTTTTGGTTGTAACATGACAAAATGTGGAAAATTTCAAGGGGTGTGAATACTTTTTCAAGGCACTGTAGCTAGAGTTGGTAAGTGTTCAGTTTCCTGTTTTTTATTTCTGCCTGTGACACCATTGTAGAGATTTTTTTCCCTCACTTCCTGTCCCTGTGATACCTGTGGGATGGGGGTTGCAGGCACTGCCAGAACAGGAGGGCAAATGCCGTAATTAAAACATTGTCAGAATCTCTAACCCTCACCTACACTTCTAACAATGTGTTTTTAATCGGTACTTATTCCAAATACTCTCTGCCCTGACAGGTAAGGGAAAGTTTTCCCAAAAGGGACTCACTAACTGAAAACTAAACTAAATGTTTTGGTTGGAGTTGAGTATTATTGACCATTTATTTTCTCAATAAAAATAGTACTATAGGTACATAGGGTGGAGTGAGTGTGTGAAAGGGTTGGATATCAGTTTAGGGGCTAGTTTACTAAAGTAGTACATTTCAAATACTGAATCAAGTTTAGCAAAAAAAAAAAATTATATTGCTTTTAAAATGTCTTAAAGTTATACTAAATGTTTTTTTTTCTTTAAAATAACAAACATGTTATATTTACCTGCTCTATGCAGTGGTTTTGCACAGAACAGGCCTGATCCTCCTTTACTCATGTCCCCCGATGATGCTTCTGGCTCCTCAACCCCTCTGAGTGCTCCCAGAGCGAGCTGCTTGCTCTGGGGGCACCCATACATGCTCACTCCTGTGCCAGCCCTGTGTGTCCATAAGACACACAAAGCATGACTCGGCTCCACCCCCTCTCCCTCCTTAGTAGTCCAGGCACTAAAACTAGGTATAGATGGATCAAAATTCAGCAGGGACTGGATGAATTTTGATCCATCTATGGGAAAGCTAGTTGTACAGAGGTTGATCTCGCCATCAACTTCTGTAAAACCACCCAGTCAGAATTTCTTCTCCCAATCAGTGGACATAGCTGACAGGACTAGTAGTTGTTTTCTGTCAACAGGGAAGACTCCCCACTGGCAGAACACAATAGAGGTGCAAGAGTTATTCCCCAATCCACATATAATCTGTGGATGGGGGAACCAGCACATTTTTTTTGTTCAACCTTCTGGTGAACAAAAAAAATATATATAATGTATGACTTGCCTTAGAATGAAACAATTATCTCAAGGGATTATCCCTTGGTAACATATTTGAAATATATATCATGATATAAATTGAATTTTCCTACTATTGCTGTACAGGGAGACCAAGCTACTCTGGGTCCACAGCATATGAACACTATAAAGGCTGTTCATGTTTCCCCTATCTCCCACATTTTGTGATGATACTGGAAAAGGTCCTGAAGCTTTTAAGTGGCTGTAAACCTCAGACATGAAATATGAACAAATCATATCCCTCTAGAGTGTGTACTTAGTGCTATTAATTAAGAAATTAAGAGCACTAAGTGTAATTTCTGTCTGCTGCTTTATTCCTCTGCTATCAGCATGAATCACTTCTCAAAATAGTACTGTAGGTACACAGGGTGGAGTGAGTGTGTGAAAGGGTTGGATATCAGTTTAGGGGCTCGTTTACTAAAGTAGTACATTTTAAATACTCAAGTTTAGCAAAAAAAAAAATAAAAATCTATTGCTTTTCAAATGTCTTAAAGTTATACTAAATGTTTTTTTTTCTTTAAAATAACAAACATGTTATAGTTACCTGCTCTATGCAGTGGTTTTGCCAGAATAGTTTTCTTGATACCAAGTCAAAAAAGGTGACGGGGAGGGAGCTCCAGCACACAGCCTGTGATTGATAGCCTTTGCTCTATTCCTGTGTGCTGTGTGAAGGGGGAGGGGGTGTCCCTTCCCTCTAATCAGGGCTCAGAGCTCTCCTCACTGAGCTCTGCAGTGTGTAATTTCAGCTCTCCACCCCCTGCTTTCTGAAAACAGACAGGCTTTATAAATGTTGCATTATGAACAGTTGTAAGGAAGAGAAGACTGAAGAGAAACAGGTATAACTTATAAAGGAGGATTTGTTTCATGTCTGTGTATCACCTGAGGTCAGTCACTTCACTGGATATATGTAAGGGTTTACAACCACTTTAAGACCTACATTGTTGGATTATTGTTCTCTTTAAGCGGGTTTTGCCTTCCTATAGGATACTATGGAAATGCAAAATTCACTTGAAGCATGTCAAATGCAGATTAAAGAGTGGTGAAATGAACCTGCCAATGAATTCTGAGTGATATTTTCAAATTGATGTCAAACTGATACCACTGACACTTGCCCAAAGACCTTGACGCAGGTAGTTAGTGAAGCTGAAACTGACCTATCATGCAGAGAAGGATAAAATGACACGCGCAGAAACAAATTCAAATGTTTATTCATGCACATGACAAACAGAGGAATGTGTACACCATAAATGATCATATTTTCACAGAAACCAGGTTTCCCTAGAATGTATATTCTAAAGTTATTTGATTAATTTAGTATTCCTATAAAAACTGTGAAACTTTAGATATTTAAGTGTAAGCCGAGACAAAATATTTTTTTCTAGTTGTGTATTGAGTAGGTAAGGATTGGAACTTCTGTTTTTTTCAACTGCCATTTGTGTACTTCCTGCCCACTTACGAATAAGGTACTCCTTAGCAGGGGCGGACTGACCATTTGGAAACTCGGGCACTGCCTGAGGGCCTGGGGTCAGTAGGGGCCCCATGAGATGCCCCTGGTACCTTTTTCATAGGCTTTTTTGAGTTTGGGCAAGGACACAGGGGCCCCATGATCCCCTATTGCCCGGGGGCCCCATGAATTGTCAGTCCACCCCTGCTCCTTAGGAAGTGAGAAAAAATCTGAGACACAAATAACAATCTGACAGGACGTCTAACCCTCCTCTAATCTACCAATGAACAGCATTTTACTTTTGTCTGTGTTGCTGTTGGAGTGCTCCCCTTATTTCCTGTGTGTTAAAACATTTGCCAGGAGGACAGAAGTGAAGGTAAATCTCTTTAATGGAGCCATAGATGGCAGTAAAAATCTAATTTGAGTTCTAATACTGTCTTACTCTAGCCAAAACTCAGAAATATGTTTTGTCTGGACTAGTGGAGTAGCGGGGGGGGGGGGGGGGGGGGGCAGCAGGGCCGTTGCTCAGGGTGCAAAATTTAGAGGGGCACAGAAATTACTCCAGAGGAGCCGCTCATAGTGCCCTGGGCTGGTGTCGGTGCTGGCTCCATCACAATCTTCTCCTGTCTCCTCATGCTCACTGGAGCCAGGGTTGAAGGTGTAGGCTGCAGGAGAGTACCGAAGGTGGAGAGGGAATGTCCACTATGGGAGACCATGTAGGGGCTGCAAGCTGAGACGGAGGAGTTCAGATGTGGGCTGGAGAGGCAGCTTGAGGACATACTGCTCCTGTTGGGGCCCCTCTCCTGGTCCATCACCAGCCTGCAGTGCGAGAACTCGGAGCTGCAGGGAGCAGGTGGACAAACTCAGCCGCCAGGTGGAACCGTGGAAGTACTGAGCCAGGTGGCAGGACTGTGGGGGAACTGAGCAGGGATGGACAGACTAGGTACTCCAGCTATATGCTGCTCACTGCATCCGGCAAACTGGCTCAGGTCAGTTCAATGAGGGTGCAACACACATCACAGAGTGGTATAGAGGGGAGGGGGAAGTATCCATCATAGGGGATATAGAGGGGCACTACAATACAAAGGGAGTATAGAGGGATATGGAGGGGGAACTACCCATCATGGGGGGTATAGAGGGGGTACTACCCATCTAAGGGGGATATAGAGGGGGCACCACCCATCATGGGGGGGCATAGAGGGGGCACTACCCATCTAAGGGGGATATAGAGGGGGCACCACCCACCATAGGGGGTCAAAGAGGGGGCACAACCCATCATAGGGGGTATAGAGGGGGCACCACCAAACATAGGGGGATATAGAGGAGGCACTACCCATCATAGGGGGCACTACCTATCACAGATAGTATAGAAGGGATGCTGTTCCCCACTCTCTTCCAGGGGTCTGTGGCTGGGAGCAGGTACACAGTGTGTGCCAATCCTGTTAGTCAGTATCTCACACAAATCCTGTGATTAAGACATTGAGAGGCAGGATTTGGAGTGAACAGCGCAGGGTACTGAAAGAGAACAGAAAAGACTGACAGTCCTCTGAAAAGCAATCCACACACAAATTGCTTTTCAAGGGCATTTGACAGGTGGTGAGGAAGTGATATGTTGCTGCATTATCCCCACCACAACCATGTGCATTGCATGTGATTGATGTCCTCTCAGATCACGCCCCCAGCCTCCTTTGGACACAGCTGATCAGATGACGTGGTAAAGAGCCAATCATAGTGGCCTTTTACACCATGATCAGCTGTGTCCAATCACAGCTGATCACCATGTAAATACACTTTCCGGTTATTGGCAGTACTTGCCTGACGCTGTCACAGTGTCAGGCGTCAGGAAAGTACTGCCGATAACCGGCAAATGTGAAGGGAGACATCTATACTGATAATCAGGGTACTGCTTATCGATACCCTGATTATCAGTTCAGTCCCAAAAGTGCCCATCAGTGCCCAACGGTGCTGCCCATCAGTGCCCAACAGTGCTGCCCATCAGTTTCCAGCAGTGCTGCCAATCTGTGCCCAGCAGTGTCACCAGTCAATGCCACCTATCAGTGTTGTCATTCAGTGCCACCAATCAGTGCTCTTCAGTGCTACCTATTAGTGCCACCTATTAGCCTCATCAGTGCTGCTTCATCAGTGCAGCCTATCAGTGCCATCAGTGCTGGCTATCCGTGTTGCCTCATCAGTGCTCATCAGTGCTGCCTATCAGTGCAGCTTCATCATCGCACATCAGTGAAGGAGAAAAATTACCTGTTTGCAAAATGTTATGAAAGAAACAAAGAAAAACTTTTTTTTTTTTTAAATTTGTGGTCTTCTTTCGTTTATAGTGCAAAAAATAAAAACCCTGTGGCAATTAAATACTACCAAAAGAAAGCTCTATTTGTGTGAAAAAAAGTATACAAATTTCATATACAGTGTTGCATGACCACGCAATTCTCATTCAAAGTGCAACAGCACTGGAAGCTGGAAATTGGCCTGGGCAGGAAGAGGGTAAAAGTGCCCGGTAGGCAAATGGTTAATTCTTGGACACAGCACATGTATCATTTTTCATTCTTGCCTGCCCTTTGATCATGCGACATTAATGTAAGAGTGACAGGGTTTTTTGTAAAATAGGAATTCAGTAGTAACAGAAATAGATGCTATAATAATAAAAGGGGCATCAGTTAAATGAAAGATGTGTATCTCAATAATATAATAATAGACTAATGCATGTGATTCAATAGGAATGTCAGACATACATTTTGCAGAATTAAATGGCAAGGCTTTCTTGCTGTGCTTATTTTTCAGCTACCTCCCATTCCACTCTAGCTAATGAAGGGTTACACATATAAGATATTTTTTTTTTTTTTTTTTTTTTTTTTTATGGACCACAGTCAGTTGCCTGGCAAAACTTATTTTATTTCTTTTTTAATCACAGCAGCTGTCAATAGCCGTGTTTTTAGGTAGAACTTCCGTATATAGTTATGCTGCCAATTGGCCAAAGCTTTTCCAGTATATCCTAACCAATGAGAGAAACAACAGGAGCTTCAGCAATATTATAGTTTATGCATGCAGCAGTTGCAGAATTTGCATATGGCTCAAACTCAGTTTGTTACCGTACATAATACCTCCTGCAGAAATAACTGTTATGACAAAACAAACTTTCATATAAAATTTGGTACACCTTAATACCTCTGCATTTTGACATGGTGACATTTTAACCTACATTTTTAGGTGTAAGATAGAAAAAAGTGTCAAACAACACAATAATGAATCAAATATCATATAACACATGTAAGGATTAATGCGTTAAAGTGCATAAAATATGTGACAAATATATACTGTAACTATGTAGAATAGAAACTACTATCATTCTATATATATGTGTGTGTGTGTGTGTGTGTGTGTGTATATACGTATATAAATATATGGTCAACATGTAAATAAACCATCATAACTCCTATAAACATCAAAAACATAAAGGGAGTGCCATAACATATAAGTTACTATTAAACAAAAAAATAAATAAATAAATAAATGTCCAATAATGCAGTCCCTTAAATGTGTAGACAGCTGGATGCTGTGCTTTGTGCAGGCTTCAAACATCCTTTATAATGAATAAAGTGCACAGGGTCCCGCTACCATTCCCAATCTGCTCTCACCTTGCTGGTTAGACCTATTTGGTTAAAAAATAGGCCAGATGCGCATTCCCCTTTAAACCCCTCACTGCCAGAGCTATTTTTGCATTTTTTGCACACATGTTCATTTTAGGCCTGAAGATTAAATAAACCCCCAAAGATTATATATTTTCTGAAAGCAGACACCCTAGAGAAAAAAAAAGTGGTAGTTCCAATGTTTGATGTCACACAATATTACCAGAAAGGTCTAGGAAACTCAACATTTCAGTAAAAAACACACTATAGTGAATTTCAGGGCAAACAAACACAATAAATTACCCACATTTTTGGTAAAATACAAAAGCTGACAAACTTCAGTACCCTATATTTTCTATAGGTGATGCATCAAAAGTCCCCCTATAGGTCTTCAGTTAGTGTTACGGAGGTCTTATGCTACAGAAACAATTCAGTACTGTCCGTGATACTTTTTTTATTTGCACTAACATACAATTTTGAGGACAAGCTTTCGGGGTATGTCCCCTTCTTCAAGGTCTAAGCAGTACTATTACAAATCACAAAGTTTAAGCAGAATGTTAAAAGGGATTGAGAAAAAAAAAAAAGGCTACAGATAAGATACATCAAAAGCGAGGGGGAGGGGGGGGGGAATACTACACTCACACAGAGGGGGTCAAGCTTTAGCTAATAGATAGTCATAAAGCTGTTGGATAATGGTTTAATGGTTGGAGGTCTTATGCTAGAATTTTTGCTCTCACTCTGGTGCGCACAGCGATATGTAACGTGTATTGCAATCAATATGTTCATGTGTAGACTCCCCCAACGTGTGAGTTTACATTCGTACTTGCATACATGTGAGGGTGGGAGGCATAAAAAAAATGGGGGGGGGGGGGGGGGGTTGTGCATAGGTATAACTTTAATTTTTTGCAATTAAAAAATTATTAAATTTTTTTACTTTTGTTTTCATCACATAGGGGACAAAAAGTGCTCTATGTGATGATTTTTAGGTGACAGGTTCTCTTTAATAGGACATGTAGGGTCTAAAAGACCCTGGATGTCTCCCCTGTGCTCCACTGAATGTATTACAATGCAGATCACATTGTATTACATTCCTTTCCAGCTATGCTAGCCGGGGAAAGTGACAGGGTGACCTTCATGTACTTTAATGCATGATTCCTTATGTGCACTGTTATTTATATTTGATTCATTATTGTGTTGTGTGATACTTTTCTATCCGACTTTTTTGAGGGTGAGGGATTATACATGACAGTGAAAGCAGCAATCTTATATGTTGGAAAAACCATTTTTTTATTGTTTATTTGCTATTTTCCCATTATCATGTCATTTATTTTATTTTTTATTTTTTTGTTTGTTATTTATGGGTAAAAGACAAGTATACATGCAACGCAGCAATAGTAAAAAAAAAAAAAATAGAGAAAAAACGATGTGCTACCACAAAATTAAAATATAAATTATTATATAGATAAGCTGATGCAATAACACGTTGAAGTGATCCCACACTCTATGAATACAAAATAATAACAATAGTGTTCTGCTTTGTTTTTATTTTGTTTTGTTTGTTTATTTTTTATGGGTAAAAGACAAGTATACATGCAACGCAGCCATAGTAAAAAAAAAAATAATAGAGAAAAAGGATGTGCTACCACAAAATTAAAATCTAAATTATTATATAAATAAGATGCTGTATTAACACTTTGAAGTGATCCCACACTCTATGAATACAAAATAATAACAATAGTGTTCCGCTAACTCTTATCATTAGTATATGTAAAATATTGTAAAAGGATGACAATAATATTCAATGTAATCAATATATAACAAATAAATGTCCACGTGAAAATAAAGTCCTTAAGTGTTTAAACAGTCCTAAAAATGATGAATGATGTGCGTCAATAAACAGTGGTCCACAACTTCAACTGACAGTGCTCCACCGCAAATAAGAAATAATTGCCCCTCCATCTGAGAATAGGATGGCCGCTCACCTCAAATACTGAACCTATATATCAACATAGGTCAAACAAGCATGGTCATTCAATGAATAGGCTCCAGATGGCAGCAAATTGCTTGTCATTGCAATAACGGGGATGATAATACATGATCATCCAAAAGGGATTTCTTCACAACCAGGGGCGGAACTGACCATTTGGAAACTCGGGTCAGTAGGGGGCCCCATGAGATGCCTCTGGTACCTTTTTCATAGTTTTTTTTTTTAGTTTGGGCAAGGACACAGGGGCCCCATGATCCCCTATTGCCCAGGGGCCCCATGAGTTGTCAGTCCGCCCCTGTTCACAACTCCACCTCAGCATGTAGAAAGAGAGAACAGCCTCTCCTAGTGTAGAATCATTTATTATATTAAAAGTACTAACAGAGTAACACACACAATGTCTCAGAATATAAAGATCGCATGACAGCATAATAATCACCACACTTCTTGTTCGCAAGTCTGTAAACGGAACTGACATCACTAAGCTCCGCCCCACGCGTTACGCCACCAACCACGTGGCTTCATCAGGGATGATCCAAGAGTGTTACTCTGTTTGGACTTTTAATATAAGAAATGATTCTACACTATGGGAGGCTCATGGGGCCCCTGGGCAATAGTGGATCATGGGGCCCCTGTGTCCTTGCCCACACTCAAATCACAACCAAAAAAGCCTATAAAAGGTACCAGGGGGATTTCATGGGGCCCCCTACTGACCCTGAGCCCTCGGGACTGCCCGAGTGCTCGAATGGTCAGTCCGCCCCTGTGGGAGGCTGTTCTTGCTTCCTACATGTTGAGGTGGAGTTGTGAAGAAATCCCTGTGGATGATCATGTATTATCATCCCCGTCACTGCTATAACCAGCTCTTTGCTGCCATCTGGAGCCTATTCATTGAATGACCATGCTTGTTTGACCTATGTTGATATATACGGTAGGTTCAGTATTTGAGGTGAGCGGCCATCCTATTCTCAGGTGGAGGGGCACTTATTTCTTATATGTGGTGGAGCACTGTCAGTTGAAGTTGTGGAGCACCATTTATTGAAGCACATCATTTATCGGTTTTAGGACTGTTTAAACACTTAAGGACTTTATTTTCACTTGGACATTTATTTGTTTTTTTTTGTTTGTTTTTTTAACAGTTGGCTTTTATTCAGAAAGATAAAGCAGAACATATGAATTATTTGTTATATATTGATAACATTGAATATTATTGTCATCCTTTTACAATATTTTACATATACTAATGATAAGAGTTAGTGCAACACTATTGTTATTATTTAGAAAAAAAAATACATTCTTGTTTACTATACAAGTTTATGTTTAAAATGCATGCATTATTAATTTCTAAAAATTAAATGGTCCTAAAGTGATATTTCATAAAAATGCTGTCAAGGAACTGTGGTTTTAGAGAAACCATCCAGCTGTCTTGAATTCATATGTGCATAATTATTTGATGCAAAAAATATATTTTTAATTTTGTATCTAACATAGCTGTTTATTTTGTAAAATGTTTTTCTTTTTTACTACTGTTTATTTTTGGATCTTGGTTACACAAATGATGTAAACTGATGCATAAGCATTTCTCTTAAAATCCATAGGAAGCACATTTTTATAAAACAAGACAAGCATTTTAGGCTATGTTTACAATGCTATTGAAAAAGATTGTGTTTGTATATCTTTCTCAGGTTGTGTTGCTTATTAAGGTCACTTTACTTATCACGGCAAAGCAAAGCTACGCAGAGCAATACAAAGCAGCATGCTATGGCTGACAGGGGAGAGATCTGTATTGTTTACATACAGACCTCTCCTCTGTCAGTGTTCCTCGGCGATCGCCGGGTGCCGGTGGGGAATCTCCATCCGGGTCCCGGTGATCGACAGCTGTAGCCACGTGCGCGCCACCCTACCAGGAAATACAAAATCATGTATATATACATGATTTTGCGCAGTCCTGCCGCCCTGTAGCAGTACTTCTGCTATAGGGTGGTCGGGAAGCAGTTAAAGCAAAATTTCTGGACACAAGAAAATAACCATCCTTGCACTAGATTCTGTGTGCACCAGTTTTAGTAAATCTCCCCCTCCTGTATTAGAGTGCTCTCACACTGGATGAAGGAGCACAGGAGCAACTTTGGACAGCAGCATTGTCAGTCTGGGAGGAGGGAAGTGTTAGATGTACTAGCAGACATAAATAAGCTAGCAGATTGATGCCAAACTCCAGCTAACATATTATAATCAGCTACAGTAGTTTTTTTTCCTTTTAGGATAAAGGTTTTACATAAATAAATATAAAAAAGCTGATCGTTGTAAGCATCCTTGTCACTGTTAAATGGTTTGTCTCATAGCAGATAGATGCCAAACTCCAGCTAACATATTATAATCAGCTACAGCAGTTTTTTTTTCCTTTTAGGATAAAGATTTTACATAAATAAATAAAATAGCTGATCATTGTAAGCACCCTTGTCACTGCTAAATGGTTTGTCTCATATTTGTAACTAATACATTTTGCTGGAGAGCTTGTTCTTTTGAAAAAACAACAGTCTTACTGGCTGGATCACCAAGTGGAAAGAAAGGAAAGAAAGACTAAAAAAGAAAAGAAAATGAATGCAGCTATCACATGTAATATTGTTTGCTTTTGGGGTTTAATACCACTTTAAATAGGTGATGATTGAGCAATCAGAGTTATTGTGCTCTAATATAAAAATAATATGTACTTATGGATAAGTAGACCTACACCATGCTATGCAGTATATGCCAATAGGAACAACAGGGTAGCAGTGAGAAATAGAAATAGCGCAGAAAAAACTCAAGAAAGTTTGCCATTAGGGTGACAACCAAATCAGTCTTAATGGATTTTTTTTTCTATATACTTTTGTACAAGAAAGATTAGTGTGATTATAATATATTTGGAACATGTCTAAGATATACCATACTGCACATATATCCTAGATGGTTTGGTCATTAATATTCAAACATTTCATAACTACTATTACTTGAAAACTTACATCCATTTCATTCATGCTGAGAAGCGAAGGAGATGGAGGTATCGTACCCAGTCGATATTCAAATCCTTCATTTAAAGTGAAGCCCCAAAACTGACTGTAGTTTTCCGCTTTCCACCTGTTTTAATAAATACCATTTTATTACTCAAATTAGCACTAGTACTAACAAAAAATATAATAATAACAAAAATAAAAGAAGCAAAAGTTGTTCATTTTTTTTATTATTACAGGTACTTATATAGCTCCGTCAATTTATGCAGCGCTTTATATATATATTATACATTCACATTCCACAAGGAGTGTACAACCTAAGGTCCTTAACTCACATTCATACATACACATACTAGGGCCAATTTAGACAGGAGCCAATTAACCTACCAGCATGTCTTTGGAGTGTGGGAAACCGGAAGTACCCAGAGGAAGCCCACACAGGCAATGGGAGAACATGCAAACAGGTGGTGCTGTGGTTGGGATTCAAACCCATGATCTTAGTACTGCTAGGAGGAAGTGCTAACCAGGGGTGGACTGACCATTTGGAAACTCGGGCACTGCCTGAGGGCCCGGGGTCAGTAGGGGGCCCCATGAGATGCCCCTGGTACCTTTTTCATAGGCTTTTTTGAGTTTGGGCAAGGACACAGGGGCCCCATGATCCCCTATTGCCCGGGGGCCCCATGAGTTGTCAGTCCGCCCCTGGGGCTAACCATTTAGCCACGGTTGATAGTTCACTGCAAATTGTTAGCACACCATAGTTATGGTACATGAGATAATTTATAAAAAAATATCAGTCAATTTTTCTTAAAGCTGAACTTCAAACAGCTAATACACACATAAAATACAAAGAAGAGATCTGTTTTATCTGCCAATAGATTTGTATGTATGGTGTGGTGCCTTCAGGTAAGCTCTGGTGCGTTGCAAAAAATACAGCATGTCATAATTTTCCTCCAATACACTGAAACCTACCTGAAGGCAGTGTTACAGTGGGAACAAGACACAGGAAAAACAATTGTCTTCTATGTGCTCTTGCAGCGACTGGTGTTGATCAAGTGCAGAAAAATATCAGTCATTGCAAACAATTCTTACTGTTAACCACTTGCCGCCCAGCCACTGTAGAAATACGGCGGCAGGGCGGCACGGCTGGGCAAAAGCGCGTTTTAAAATGCGCTTTTGCAAAACAGGTAGGGGGAGCGCATGAGGCTCGCCTCCGCCCTACCTGCACCGCCGATCCCGGCCGCGGGTGTCAGTCACGGGGTCACAGCCGGTCATTACTGGCTGTGTCCCGCCGATTAGCGTCAATCACTGACAGAGAGCAGGGCTGCAGTAGCTCTGCTTTCTGTCAGTTCCCTGACAGGTCCTGACACGCTGATCAGGAGAGAAGAGTTTATCTCTCCCGATCAGCGTGTCCCCTGCAGTACACACCCCCGCCCATTATTAAAACACTCCCCTCACACAGTTAACCCTTTCAGTGAATAAAAAAGTTAACCCCTTCCTCCCCAGTGCCATTAGTACAGTGTCAGTGTTTTTTTTTGCACTGATCACTGTATTGGTGTCACTGGGGATGTCAGTGACCCGAAGTCAGTTCCCCCCCAGGTGTCAGAATGTCCACTGAAGTCCCGCAGTCCTGTCATAAGTCGCTGATCCCTGCCATAAGTCACTGATCGCCACCATAAGTCGCTGATTTATTAGTATAAATTTTTTTTTTAAATCCGAGTATCTTTCCTGCCATTTGTAAACGCTATAACTTTCACGTAAACCAATTAATTTACATGTATTGGGTTTTTATTTAGCAAAGACACGCTGTCAGAAGAGACTCATGCAGATAACAGAGGAACAAAGCGACAGAGAAATCACACTCAGTACTTTTGATAGAGACAAGTACACAGTATAGAAGATGTGTTTTTTTTTATGTTTCGTGTCTGAGGTTTACAACCACTTTAATTCTGCTATTTATAGGGATGCTCACTCACTATCTTAAAACAACATAGAGTATGTGTATCGTACCATAAGGGACAGGGGTGCACTCTGAGTTGGGGCCACAGTGGGATAGATGCATCAATGTTTCGGATAGGGACCAAAACAATAATATAAAAACACTTTCAATGCTCCTCTTATCCTATAATAATGACAAATTTTAGCATTTAACAGCATGCAAGGACTAAGCAACCTGTTAGCAATATTCCCATATGCTAATAATTGCTCATGTCGCTCATGAATTCAATAATGAGCTATGAGATTTTTGAATCGTTGAATAGGATGGGTCCTCTGTTCTTTGCCTCAACCGCTTCCAAAAAACCTTAACCCCTCTTGAATGTGAAAAAATACAATATCACAGGAAATCACTGGAGGTCATACAGTAGCAGCTGTATATCTAAGAAAACAGGCACCAAACCAGGTAGTAAAGGCAAGCTTAATATATTGTCACTCAATATGGTAGGTAATTAGACAAGCATAAAGTGGATTAACAATGGTAATAACACAATTTAGCATACAAAGTGATTAACAGTAAGGACTGAGCATACAATGTCATTTAAACCATTGTTCCTGTTAGATGCACTCTTAGTAGTATGAATTAAGCTGCTGAGCATCCTCTATTGTCCTAATGGGCAATAGTGCGCAAATACACAGCTCAAAAAAATTAAAGGAACACTTTGAAAACACATCAGATCTAAAAAAATATCATGCTGGATATCTATACTGATATTGACTGGGCAATGTGTTAGGAGCGTAAGGATGCCCATTGTTTGATGGGAATGAAAATGATCAACCTACAGAGGACTGAATTCAAAGGCACCCCAAAAATCAAAGTAAAAAAAATAATGCAGCAGGGTAGTCCATTTTGCTGATATTTTATTGCAGCAACTCAAAATGGTGCTCAGTAGCTTGTATGGCCCCCACGTGCTTGTAAGCATGCCTGATAATGTTGGGGCATGCTCCTAATGAGACAACGGATGGTGTCCTGGAGTATTTCCTTCCAGATCTGGACCAGGGCATCACTGAGCTCCTGGACAATCTGAGGTGTAACCTGGTGGTGTCGGATGGACCGAAACATGATATCCCAGAGGTGTTCTATTGGATTTAGGTCAGGCGAGCGTGGGGGCCATTCAATGGTATTAATTCCTTCAGGCCACCCTCATGAAGTCTTTTTCTGATTGTTTGGTCAGAGACATTCACACCAGTGGCCTGCTGGAGGTTATTTTGCAGGGCTCTGGCAGTGCTCATCCTGTTCCTCCATGCACAAAAGAGTAGATACCGGTCCTGGTGATGGATAAAGGTCCTTCTATGGCCCTGTCCCGCTCTCCTAGAGTAACTGCCTGTCTTCTGCAATTTTCTCCATGCTCTTGAGACTGTGCTGGGAAACACAGCAAACCTTCTGGCAATGACATGTATTGATGTACCAGCCTGGATGAGTTGGACTGCCTGTGCAACCTCTGTAGGGTCCAGGTTTCGCCTCATACAGTGACCCTAGCCAAATGCAAAACTAGTGAAAAACAGTCAGAAAGATGAGTAGGGAAAAAACATTCAGTGGCCTCCACCTGAAAAACCATTCCTGTTTTGGGGATCATTTCATTGTTGCCCATCTAGTGCACCTGTTGTTAATTTCATTAACACCAAAGCAACTGAAACTGATTAACAACCCCTTCTGATACCTAACTGACCAGATCAATATTTCAGGAGTTTAATTGACTTGATTCTATACTCTGATTAAAAAGTGTTCCTTTAATTTTTTTGAGCAGTGTACAGGGGCGGACTGACCATTTGCAAACTCGGGCACTGCCCGAGGGCCGGGGTCAGTAGGGGGCCCCATAAGATTTTCTTGAGTTCGGGCAAGGACACAGGGGCCCCATGATCCCCAATTGCCTGGGGGCCCCATGAGTTGTCAGTCCGCTCCTGGCAGTGTATATGCATCAGATATGGTGCTGCTCTTAATTATCACTATATACAATATAACATTACCCTTTAACAGAACAGGTGTTTGGTGGAGCTGCCTGGGAGAAGACACAGTGGACAATATACAACAAAGCACACATGGAGCTTCGTAATACATAAAAGGTCGCATCAGATCTAGTAAGTGGCATCCACGACAGGTAGAGGGAAGGTGGAACGAACACTGCTATATTTCATATAGAAGCACTAGAAGAAGGCACTTTTGGGATCAGCACTTTAGGACAATTAGTGGCACTTTACATTGGATGAACATTTATTTTATTATGAATTTGGATTTTAGTAAATGATTGGAAAGGACACTTTGGGGAAGATATACTAGGATGGACATTTTTGCACATTGATATATTAGTGCAGTTTATTAACATTGCACTTTATTATTATTGCACTTAATTTCAGCACTTTACCATCATATTTAAATTGTTGAGCACTTGAATTGTGGACACTTTATAGCAACTGTTCTGGTAAAAGTTATATGTGTGGAGAAAGATATAGTGATAATTAAGTGCCACACCATATATGATGTATATATAAGATGTCATTTGGCCTCCAGAGCAACATAAACAGTAACAAGGCCACCTAAAGTGCAGCAGTGGGCAGTAGTAAAGTTGAAAGAATATGTCAACCCAAAATTTAATATTTCTGATACAGTATGTGCTTGCTGTACCATGTACTTGTATGAAAAAGTATCCTGATCTTTTTGTATTGCTTTTTTTTTTGTGTGAAATACCTGGTGCTCCTGCCAGTCCCTCTGCTTTCCTATTAAAAACTGGCCACACTAGGTAGGAGAGCATAGTGTGATCAGTTTTCTAGCTGTGCTGGGAACTCATTTAGCTCTCCGAGAATGATCAGGCTTGTGCTGAAACTCCCTATTTCCTGCACAGCCATTCACTGTGAAGATCGGTGTACTGCTGCTTCTCCTCCCCTAGCCCTCTAAGCTCCTTATGCAGCTCGGAACAAAGTTTATGTGATATTTTTTTTTAAAATGGGAAAGGGTATGTATAATTTTTTCATATATGTATGCACAAATGTTTTGCCTTTCATTTCTATTTTGAACTGATTGGGCTGTTTTACAAGGTGAGAGTTCACATATACTTTAATCTACCGATTACTGCCAGAGCAGTATAGTGGAGATGCTAGTATTAGATTGACTAGGTATGCACTGTCCAAAAGAAAAGGAGGATGGTAGCAGAGGGGGTAGGGGAACAAAAGGGGGCTTGCAAAATAATTATTATGGGTGGGGCAGTCCTTTGGGATGTTCTTCTGTTCCCTATCGCTCAGGCCCTTTAAGAGTGTCAGTGCACTTAACAACAGTCCCCATTAATCTGCAAGCAGTATAGGTGCAGTATATGTATAGTATACAGTAGTCTCAGAACAGGTTCAAGGTAGATGTAGTGCAGATGTGGTAAAGGTTCAATATAATGCAGAATAAGGTTGGTATAGGTGCAATCTAGGTTTAGAATAAGTGTAATATAAGGTGCAGTATGGGTGCAGTATAGTTTGGGTGCACTTGGTGTCCTACTCTAAGTGGCTAAGTTCCTACTAGCTGTTTCAGCTAGGGGGGAAGAGCCCTCTCACCAGTCCCCAGGATGTTGCAGTGACCTCTTGCTGCAGAAAGGGGGGCCCCCTCATTCTCTCCCTGAAAGCCTCCATGATCTGCAGTGGGAGGCAGAGGGTGGGGGGACACTCCAGTCTCCCTGCTGCAGCAGTGCAATGTAATGACCCAGAGTGTCCTCACTCCCAGTCTCAGGCTTGGATCTCCACAGGTATGGTCTCCAGCTGGCAGGCAAATAATCAGCCAGAGATGTTCTCTCTCTCTAACTCCC